AGGTGAGGTGGTGAGAAACTTCTGCTTCAGCTAGTGACAGACCAGTGATCTCACTAAGAACTAAAAAAGGAAAGCTTGGGGGGGGGGGGGGGGGAGGGAGGGGGGGGGGGGGGGGGGGAGAGAGATGGGGAAGGAATCAGAATTCATCCTTTTAAAGACAGCAGAGAGCTCCTGAGGTAATGAGAACAGAAGGAGCTAAGAACCCAGGGAGGGAACTTTGGAGAAGAAGCTGATTTCTATAGCTGCTTTCACCCTGGGGTGTTAGCTGATTCAGCAGAAATCAGCAGCTGGCAGGAGGCTGGGATTAGCATTGGCAGGTAAAGACACCGATCCACAACATGTGTGTAATTTTCACAGGCATCTTCTCGAGGAAGATAACATCCCTAGAGCAGTAGGGTGGGTGGGTGTGTTGGTGTGTGTGTTGGTGCAGATGGAGGTGTCCAGAAATCTGATGTTAATTTTTTAAAGCACCCCATGGTAGCTCTGAAACAAAACAGACCGTACACATTATGTACAAATATCCGGTATTTTTCTCCGTGAAAAGATGTTATAAAATTTATGTTTTGGGTAGACTATGATCACCTAATACTTCTCATACCAACTTATACCTGATTTCCCATACCATTGCCTAGAGTAAATGTCTGTATTATACCTTTTATTATACAACTAAGCACAATCTGCCATACATAAAAACAATGCTCTAAAATTAAACTGAAAAAGTATTTTAAATATGGCACCATAAAAGTAGTGATAATGACATCAAAAGGTGACTCTAGTTGCCTTTCAAATGGTGACACATAGAAGAAATATTTCAATCTTAAGAAAAACTAAAACTAAAAATAATGCATTATAACAACCATCTATAAACATTTTGATAAGAAAACTAGGCATTTCATATCAAGAATAAGAGAAATCTTCTTATATATAGCCATTTAAGCCTAGAGGCAAATCATATTAAATGAAATTAGTTTGTACAGAGTAAGTACTCTGTGTAATAACTGTTTCACTAAACAAAATCTTGATCACGTTTAATAATTTTAAAATGTATGTAAGTGGTAATACCCAGAATTCCATTAAAATTATATGGGTAACCACTTTTGTTTTAAGTAAGATAAGTTAAAACACTTACCTGAGTTTCATACAAGTGGGCAATGTGAAATTGAACTGCAAAGATAATGGAAAATAGAAATCAATACACAAGTGTTTGGGATAAATTAAGTAAGAATATAAAATGTAAAACATAAGCATGGTCTACACTATATAGACTTAATAATGGAGCATAACTTTTACTTTTAATAAAATAGAATATAAAAACAAATACATACAACCATAATAAACCACATGTATTCACTGTTGGTCATTTATCAAATTTTGTCAAAGTAATTATTAAAATATTGAAATCTACAGCAAGTGAGTATTACTTCTTTAATTTTTTTTCAATTACAGTTTATATTCAGTATTATTTTGTATTAGTTTCAGTGAGTATATTTCTTACAAAGTTCAAAATGGCCACATTAAACAAATAAAGAAAACTTTTTATAATCGTATACATTTCAAAAAATGGTATTTAAAAACTGAGTTGTAGGTGAAAAATATAGTCACTATTTGTAAAAAACATATTAAAACAGAAAAAAGCCTATAGTATTTTTCTTATACCATATTTCATATCAGCAACATTGATAAAGAAGTCATAGACCCAGGCTCACACTGGTAATAACACAGAAAATGAAAGTAGTTGTTGCATTTCTCTATCGGTTCTTCAGGATTTTTTTTAAAGTCAAACCACTTGGAAGGCAAGAATAATAGTCACAAGATTAACAAGTATGTCTTGAAAAATCAAATAAAAATATATGTCATCTTTTATTTTCAGCTCTTCCTGATAGTGCATCACCAGAGTATGAACGATCCAATGAAAGCAACAATGAATCAGGAATCAAAACTGGATTCTAGCTACTTTTATACTCATTTTCATTATTTAAAGACAGTGGTCTATCTATCTGAATTTCATAGCTGGATTTCAAGGAGTCTGGAAGCCTTTCAAAATTATATGCAGAATATGTACGTGGATCTTTACAAACAAGGTCCACAGCTATCATCAATTTCTTATTGGAGAGTGCACCATGAACTGATTCCTGTAACTTTAAGATTCACCTGGAAGGCTTGTGAAAAATAGAGATTCCCAAGATTATAATTCAGTGAGCCTGGGCAAGGCCTGGAAAGCTGCCTTTTTATTCAGTTCTGCAAGGGCTCCTGATCCCTATTCCCTTGACCACCTATGACTTGAAAACAGCTAATCTAAAAAACCACGAAGATCAAAACAAACAAAATAGATCATGATCTTTAAAAATACCACTTTTGGGCCAAAAGTAAAGAACTACACAACTCCATAAACAATAATTAAATAATAATACCACATGTTAACTAATCAGAGATGAGGCAAAATAAAAGATGAAAATCAGTTTTGTGAAAAGCATACAAAAATAATAAAGAAAAGTTCACATATGTAAATATCTTATTCCCCACTCCCCTTTTCCAATACAGCTCTCCTTGAGTTCCAGTCCACATCTCACCTGACTGCATCATTGGAGGGAGACTGGGTTACAGGTTAAGGGAATGTGGAAGAAATGAAAATCTATGCCCACTTCCCCCAATCTTCTTACTCCTCTAATAGAGGTAACAAGGAAGAAAAGATCAGCAGCCAGCTGGCACACATACTACCATCCCAAACTTCCACCAGGCTCACTCCTAGGCCTTATGTCAAAGGCTTCCCTCTATCCCATGAGTTACTAAATCCAGTGTTATCTTTTGTAGTGTGACAACCACCATGTATTTAAATTGTTAAAAGCCTTCTTCAAAGTACAGCATAAGCATAGACCTAAGAAAAAGCTCCACTTGGCAAGTCTCAATAGCAATAGAAATTTTGAACAAATATTGCCATAAAAGTTTCTGAAATTAAACTTTATTCAGAAATTAATACATTAGTTTTAGAATTAACAACATTTTTAAAATCTCAAACAATTTTATCCCGAGGGGCAATCATATAATGAAAAGTCTCACATCATTACAATTCTACTTTTCAAAACACTAACTGTAGTTAACCTCTCAAATAGCTCTAGAAACAAGTGTATCTACTTAGTTTTTAATTGTATAAATGAATTGTGCCATAAAATACAAATCTCTCATACAGACTTTTTAAAAAGCTCACTTTACTATTATCTTCTGGTCTTTCAGTATCATGAGGTAACATGAAGAGTTCAAGGTATGTGGCATATACAATAGGTAAAGACATAAAAAATGAAGAGAAATAAGTTTTACAAAGGCAAAGAGCCTGGTGTTGAAACAGTAATAACGTCTGGCTCAAGGTAGGTAGCCTACATTGCTCTGTGAGACATCAGCCACTAATGCAGTTATCAAGTAATCATGAAGACTGTCTAAAATAATCTACCTAAATCAACTGAACTATAATGTCTTTAAATAAAGCACATGCCCTTCCATTAGAATGACCAACCTTTTAGCACTCAAAGTCCTGAATCCAAGGAAACTCCCTGAGCAAAAGAGGATGTTGGTCCCCTCCCACCTACTCCCCTTTTCAATAACCAACAGACAAAGAGGCACAGTAAACTCAAAGATGTATTCATGATGGTTCAAACTGTCCTCTGCAAACCTGACAGGAAAGGTTTCTGTCCTGTGATATTCACTCTACATAGGTGTCCTCCACTCAGGAACAATGATCTATAAGTGAGATTTTACCTCAACAGAGAAATGAGGATTTACCAAAATATTTAGTTTCACATTTATGAGAAAGGCCTCAAAAGTTATTTAAACTGACATATAGGTATGAAACTTGGCTTTAACACGTTAAGCGCCCAGCCCGTTTTGTCTTCCGGACGGAAAGTATAGTGTCAGTCACCGGTGACTGACATGGGGTTTAACGTGTTAAGGCACTATATATAAAAAATTAAATGAAAATCAGCTGTTTTCTTATTTCCATAAATTAGATGATTTATATAACCTGCGTATATATTTATGGAAAAAGTATAAATTAACACCTTATAAATTAATATACCTATGAGTTTAAATTCTTTTTCTAATCTAACCCCATCTTAGAAACTAAAATATTCCTGTGATTGTTACCTGCCCATAATTTATTCTGCAAATACACTGATCAGTACAAAATTCTGAGTTTCATTTAAAGAAATGAGAAATGTTTTCTCAAAAAATTGCCTCTTAGAGAAGTATGAGATAATTGGTCTGGTTTAAACTTACTCCTTCTTAAGCATTTTTAACACTGATACTATTTTTTACTTAACACCTTTCTATATAGTTAAAAAACAGTCACTGCCGAAACCGGTTTGGCTCAGTGGATAGAGCGTCGGCCTACGGACTGAAGGGTCCCAGGTTCGATTCCGGTCAAGGGCATGTACCTTGGTTGCGCGCACATCCCCAGTGGGAGATGTGCAGGAGGCAGCTGATCAATGTTTCTCTCTCATCGATGTTTCTAACTCTCTATCTCTCTCCCTTCCTCTCTGTAAGAAATCAATAAAATATATTTTAAAAAAAAAAAAAAAAACAGTCACGTATAGCAAAATACAGACTGAACTTTCCAAAATCTAGAGTCCTTTAATTGATCTTAAATTTTCATTAAGAATGTTTGGTTTTTTATATATTCTAATTAAAATTTTATATTTCAAGTAAGGAAGTTTTAAAGAAAGCCAGCTTGGACCCAAATGAATATTCTTAAAACTTTTATTGGCTACTTTACAGTACACTAAATAAACATGACAACATATACTTATTGATAAACACATCATAATCAACCCAATCTGCTTTTGGAAGGAAACCTACACAGAAGCAGAAAATAACTGAAGAAAACCACTATATCAGAACATGCTTCATACATATATTCTTTTTGAATTAATTGAAAAATGTCATCTCCAACTTTATATATGATGTGTAAAAATATAATAAAAAGTCCAAGTATAGCTTCATAATTACCAGTAATTTGGGAGTCACTGAGCTACCACATGTGAATCATTGTATACTCATTTTTCTTAAAAAAACTGGCAAGTCCTGTTATTAATCCCCCATATTACCTACAATATAATTAATACATAAATAACCAATCTTGCTTATTGGTGCAGGTAATTTTCATTCAACCCCTCAGTTTACTGGTATATCTATTTTAGACATTGGCTGTTCATAATAACTGGTCTGACATGTTCCATCTGTACAAGTAGCCATGGCAACCAATACAGTTAGCTTCAACAATTCTAGAAGAAAAAAAATCGCACAGGATTTATCACTATCATCATTATTATCACTACCACTACTATTTGCCATGAAGTGATTTGAATATATGTAGAAAACTATGACAATTAATACTTACTTTCAGCATTCGACAAAGTGCAGGGATTACAGTCAACCAAAGCTAACTGCAAATGCTGTAAGAAGAAAGTGAGAAAATTAATGCACTAAATTCAGTCATATAAATATGTCTTAAAATAATTTTCAGGTATGTAAGGTCTAACATAATAACAGAACTATACTATGCAAATAAACCATACTAGACAACCAACTAGAATTACTCTGAACATTTACTGATGGCAACAGACAGGTTGTGGAGAATGGAAAACCTGGGAAAGAATTAACTTTATCAAATTACCCTATGCATATTTTTGTTTATATGGAAAAAGCTTTGGAATTTTTAGTCTTCAAATAAATAAAAAGTATCCTCTATAATAATAAAAGCATAATCTGCTAATTAGACTGGATGGCTGGATGACCTTCTGGACAAAGCTGGAGTTGCAAGGGCCGAGGCAAGCTGCCGCAGCTGCGAGGGCCAGGCCCCTTGCACAAATTTCGTGCATCGGGCCTCTAGTATATAATAAAATGGTAATATGCAAATTGACCCTAACGATGGAACAACCAGGAACGACCAGTCACTATGACATGCACTGACCACCAGGGGCCAGGTGCTCCCGGGCTGCCAGAGGGATGTCTGACTGCCAGCTTAGGCCCAATCCACCCAGGGAGTGGGCCTAAGCCGTCAGTCAGACATCCCCCGGGGGGTCCCGGACTGTGAGAGGGTGCAGGCCAGGCTGAGGAACAACCCCCAACCCCAAGTGCACCAATTCGTGCACCAGGGCTCTAGTTAGTTATAAAATAGTTTAATCAGAACACATCACTATTTTTAAAATTGAAAATAAAGGTCAATGGCATTAATGTCAGAACATCACTGCTTATCTCAAAATGAGATGTGAACATTAGAAACAAAAAAAATTACTATGAGAATTATCATAAAGGGTGAAACTATCTGCCCTTACTGAATCTTCAATAATCACTATACTTAGTGCCTTTGAAATACTACAAAGAATGCACAGGCTATAAATAGTCTGTGTTCAAGTTCATTTATGACATATAATTACCCTTTTAGAATGTGCTATCATATGTGTAATAGTTATAACATCCACTTATAATGTCATATAAGTGTGCCCAAAAAAATACATGTTAAATTCAATGTATAACACTAAGTCTTAAGAACACAAATCATAATAAAAAACACTGGGTAACATCTAGTTTGTCAACATTAAGCCTAGTATGTAAACTAAGAGAACACAAACAAGTACTAGAATTGGTATGAAATCTTTAAGATAAAAAACTTAAAAATCTTTTAACCTCTAAAAATATTTTCACAGATGTATATTCAAATTTTTAGCATTTAAAGAAATCAACAGCCAATATACAAATCACTTTTAAAAAATTGACCACAATAAGCTCATTCCTATCTACTGCTGGGCAAACTGAAATGCATAATGACAATTTCTAGATGTAAGTTCATCTTTCTTTATCAAGAGAAATAATCATCAGCAAGTTTTCAGTACTATTTTTCAACACAGAATCAACAAAACGGCACTTGGTCAACTAGATCCCTCAGTTAACAAAAATAAACAAATATCAGCTATGCAGTGTTACAAGGAAAGAAAGATTAGAAGGCATCACTTGGTATGAACATAGTAATCATATTAATTCACGAATGTCTGTTATTTGCATGCATAATTAGGCTAACCTATATTTACAGTACTCTTACTATTTAAGGGTTGTAATATTTTGAATGGGCAAACTACCAACAAAATGACTAAGACCCTTAAATATTTAATTATGTAATCAATAAATATTTATCAAGACCTATAATGCCCTTAGAACAATGCAGAAACTAGGGATACAATGATGAACAAAACAAAAGTAAAAAATTATTTGCCATGGTTGACAGAATGAAAAAAAAAAACATCCAACACCTGAACACCCTGAGAACTGCTTTTATTTTCCCTTGGCCTACTAAGCAGATTGTATGTCCTCAAACATCCCTTGAGTGTGCTACCATGGCAATATAAAACAGACTTTTAAAAAGTGAGTACTATGAAAGCAACGCATGCTTTATAGCCAACTGCTCTCCTCGAGACGAAAAGAGCAGCACAGCAGCCACACTTTTAGATTCTACTGCATTTCTAAATCTAATCTATCCTGCCAGCACAAATTAATATTTAGATAACACAGACCTCTCCTAACTGAGCCATCAAAGTACATAAACAGACCTGCAAAGAAACAGCCTTCAAGATGGCAGTATTTTAGTTTTATTATTACACTGAAATCCCACAAAGAGCAGAGAGATGCATAATTCAAATTGCCCAGCCTACATTTCATCTATCAATGCTCAATGAAACCAGGCAGAAATGGTTCTTGGCCATGTTTTATATAATCCTTAATCAACCTTAAAAGCAGCAATGAAGTCACTGAAGCACTATCTGAAACCCACAATTATTATGAAACACTAAACATTTCCAAATAGCAACAATATAGAAAAATTACCGGGCAAGAGCACATATTCAAAAACATGCATGTGAGAATGAAAAAACTTAAAGAATTACAAAGTTGAAGAAACTAAGCAGCCACACAAAACCACATAAAGAAAAACACTGATACACCTTTCAGTAAACTAAAGGGAGATGAACTGGGGATGACATGACCTCACAGTTTCACTTCTGGTATCAAAACCAGATGCAAAATAGATATACCTATTAACATATAAATCAGCAAAAATGACTTCCAATTCTCAAGCCTAAAAATGTCATGGTAAAATATCCAGCACCCAACAGAAGCAGCTAGAAAGTACAAGATGGGGCAAAAGTAGAACTACAGTTGTGAGTGCGCGAAAGTTTATTCTTGTATTGATTAAGTATTATATTATTTCCCACAGAACGAACTGGAAACCTACTTTTGCCATACCTGTACATGCATCTCATACCGAAATACTGCGGTACTGAAACTGATTACTGCTGTGTGGAAGTTATCATGCAGTAGAGGCTTTTGCATTTCAGACTATATACAAACCTCAAGGCAGAGAGCATTCTACAGAAAATTAATTTCCAAGCCAAGAAGATTTACCTGAGACTTTTTTAAATGCTGCAGTTATTTTCTTTTTATAGAGCACTTCTGGTCCAATTTAACACAAGGTTCGATTCATTACAATTTCTGTTGACATCTTTATTACCAAAGTCACCTTTTGTTTTAAAAGCTTTTGACTTGCGCAATATTTCATAATAACTTTATAGTATTTTGTTTTATATAAACTGAGGAAGTTGATTTCTATCTGGAGGAAGGATATCTATATTCATGTAATTAACACATAAAACTAGTTTCAAGACTTCATTTTCCTTTAAATTATTTTACTTCTAGCTGTATAGTCTGTGATTATATCATGAATCTTTTCAATTGTAGAACCCTTCAACTGTATTCCCAATCCTACAGACAAGCAATGAGATAGCTTTTCGTAACTGACAAAGTATGTATCAAGGTATAAATAATTAATTTGGAGCACTGTTTGGATTCCAGATCTAATCTTGGATGTTCTGATTCAGTGGGTTGAGGGTGACACCCTGTGAACCACATAAAAGCTTCTAACAAATTATTCCAATGCTCAGTCAGGGTTAAACGCCACTATCTTAAAGTTTTTAAGTCATGTGCTTGCCCCCAAAAACCTTACTTTAGAGTACCTAGCAAGGTGTGTATAGGTGATAACACTGTCTCTACTCATTCAATTATGGCAGACACAGCCTTTTGGGAATAAAAGGTTGGCAACCAGCTTTTACTCTATAAGACAGGCACTCTGCTAAGGCTATGCATACATAACTAAACACAAGGCGCACTGAAACTGGTATTGTAACAGAAGTTTAACAGACAATTCCATAATGGAATCCAAAAGATACAGATGAGAGAAGAAAGAAAGAGGTATTTCTGGCTTAGGAAACAATTTGTTTTTATTCCACTCCAACGAAACAAGTTTTTGTGGACCATTTAAGTAAGAGAAGGGAAGGTGTGTCAGGTACTCTTTCAAGTCAAAGGCAAATTATTTTCCTTAATCATTGTTACAGATCGCCACAGTTCTAAAATATTAAAGGTGGTAATCATGCTGAAATATATAAATGCACCAAATCAACACATTGTACACATTAATCTTACACAATGTTATGTGTCAATTTTATGTCAATAAGAAATTTTTAAAAGACTAGAATTTTCAAAATACCAGCTGGACGCGTTAAGCTATCATGAAAGAAATAGGACAGAAGTAGGTATCTATATCTATATAAAAGTCTAAGTGACCATTACGACCAACCAGTAGCTATGACACGCACTAACAACCAGGGGGAAGATGCTCAATGCAGGAGCTGCCCCCGGGTGGTCAGTGCACTCCCACAGTCAACCAACCTCCTGTGGCCAGCCAACCTCCCACGGTCCCGCCCGATAGGGGACTGGGCGAGACGGCCCTGATAGGCAGAGAGGGACCCCACCCGTGCACGAATTTGTGCATGGGACCTCTAGTGGAATAATAATAGCAAATTTCATTTATCTTCAGACAACTAAACTAAAAAAAATATGCTGTTAAAGCTTCAACAAAAGAAATATGACAGATATTTTGGAAACCTAAGACATCGTTAAAATTAATTTAATAACTAACATCAAATTCTCAGTAAGTTTTGTATAATACAGTTCACAGTATCCTAATTAAATGAAACAAATGACTTCTGCATTCTACAGTAAATAAAAGACAGGAGGCATTTCAGATTCAAAAGTGTTTTCTAAGAGGAAGTATATATCATCATGCCTTTATTTACCGTTCTGCCTTATTATCTTAGCATAAAAAAAAAATCACTATAAAACTCCTGAATCTGTATTGGGTATAAGATCAAACAAGACAACTGGAAATGAAGTAGTTCTTGAAGAAGAGTAAGGTAGACAGAAAGAATGTGGAAATGCTTTTTCACTCAGAAGTTTCATGTCATGTGTAACAGTAGAGGGGAGACAAGCTGAAATGAATTGTGCTGTCAGTTTGTAAAGGAAAAACACCTGTTAAGAGATAATAAAAGTAGCTCCTTTTTCTGCCAAC